TGTGTGTGAGGAAGCAGAAAAACAACAACACAGCGACACAGAAAGATTAGAGAGGTGGATCTACAGAGAGGAAAGAGAAGAGCAGGGGTGGAAAGTTTCTTCCAAAATGTAAACACTAACATTTGGATGGTTGGCTGCTTAACTGAAACAGAAAATANNATAAATTTTATGACTTGTCAGACAGTGGGATGGAAGCCTGGTGAATTGTAGTGCTACAGTGTAAACAAGCTTTGACCATAATGCCGACACTTCTATGCGTTACAAAGCTCAAAAGAGGATGAGAATGTGAAGGCGCTGAAGAGACAACATGGACGATCAGCAATTTTACAAAGTGAGTTTGAGGTAAATATGTTTTTTAGCAGTAGCATTATGTTAGCTTGCTACTATATTCTGCATCATTTCACTTTGTAGTCTGATTCGCTGTGTAAAATTGGGTCATAGCAGCAGTTAAATAAAAATTTGTGAATTTAAAATTAAATTTCATATAATGTAAGACCTAAACATTAAAATAATAAAATATTTTTGCAAATGAGACAGTGTGTGGGAGTCATATTGTAATTGTACCTTCCTCTGACGCACCTGTCACACATTATGAGTGTGCACAGATTTCTTTCTATGTATTTTAGAGGTCCTAAATATCTTAATTTTGAAGGAGCCTGTCTCCAGTTGCCAAAGCTCTGAATAGTCTCTCAGTGGATGTTTGAGATGTAGGACCACCGTTTCTGAATCAAAGATTTCACCACACTTTCTCACCAGTGTCAACTTTTGTCTTGAACAGCCAATAATTGCACAGTGAAAACAGGGCCTTTACTTTTTGGGGGATTTACCTTTACAGTTGAGTAAGGTGAACAGAAAGGGGGGAGACAGAGAGGAGGGATGACATGTAAGAAAGGGCCACAGGTTGGATTCTAACCTGGGCCGCTGCAGCAGACTCAGACTTGGTACACAGGGCACAAGCTCTCCCACTATTACTACTCACACTAAACAATTAACCAATTAAAAAAAAGAAACTAAATCTCCATCTGACTTGTTCTATCCGACCAACTGTCCTAATCCCAAATATATTCTGTTTAAAAAACGGAGCAAAACCAATGATATGAATGAAAAGCAGGAATCAGAGAATTTTTGTCCTGTTTTGCTTGATGAATGACTGAAACACTGAAACGAAGATCCTTAATGTTGTGATAATGTTGTGATTGCTGTGTGGGCCCTCCTGCTGGATCAATAAAATGTACCCTGATCCAGAGACAGACAGAGACAGGGGATTAACACTTAATGTGTTTCATATCTGCTGTAAGTGTTTTTTTTTTTCATTCATCCATTCTGCTCAGGAGTGAGAGAACAGGAAAATAAAGAGACCAGGCGGTATTGAGAGTATGTGAGATTAAAGCCCTCCCCTCTCTTCAAAGGCCGCCCATGTCTAATTATGAAAAGACTGTAAGAGTGAAGCAGCATATGGCAACTGTCCCTGCAGTATTCACTGACACTATTTCAAGCTGTCATAAACACAAACACAGTCAGACACACATACTCAAACATGGCTTCTCTTCACTTTGAGGCGCTTCAACTCAATTTAATTCTAACTTTATTTCAGACTCAGGTTCCAGATGAAAGACAAAACATTAGATAGAATAAATTACATAAAAGCACAACAAAAGATCATGATTGAAACGAGGGAAAATACACAAAGAGACAACTTACCAGTGTCTCCACAGCTGGGATTGGTATGATGTACTAAACCTGAGTGATTTTTTTCATTCAGTCATTAAAGGACCAGTGTGTAGGATTTAGTGCCATCTAGCATCTTGCAGATTGCAACCATCTAAATACAGCTCAGCCTTCCAAGTGTGTAGGAGAAACTACAGAAAAAGGTCAATTCTGAGGAACACAAAAGATTCTCATTTTCAGGTGATTATACACTAATGAAAACTATAAACTATTATATTCAATTTAAAAAAAATCCTCTGGACCTTTAACAGCTTCTTAGCCATTGAGTCAGTTCTTAAAGCTAAATTTTACAAATGAAGTAAAAGGGCATACTTATATATTAATGAGGCTTGAGTACTCTTGAGCACAGACCACTGTCTGGGTCTACCTGCTACAGCCTGAGTTATTTCCTTTCTAGATAGTACAGGCATTAATTGAAGAAGCAGAAGGTATAGGATCATCTGCTCATACACCCCAATGAAGCATGCATGTCCATCAGCTGTACTAATGCAATGGTCCAGCCTCACTAAAGAATGTATAAGTATGTGTAGGCAAAAGCCATATTATCTTGAAGGAATTAATGGAAGCAAGCCTATTTAGATATTCATACTCATCCTGATGGCACGTATAGGGCCTATACACATTAGGGATAAGGAGTTTCTTATAATTTCCTCTGAGCAGCAACATCTTTCGGCTCAGAGAAACCTCTCCTGCTGTGACAGTTAAGTGCGGTGAATGAGAAATCACCTTCAGGACAATGAGCGTCATTATTATGCGTCATCCCTACCACGGGGTTTCCCACTTGATCTTCTAGCCTCTGAATTCTGCTTTGGCTGCCTCTCATCGTCAGTCATTTGAGGTTAAAGCTGCTCGCTTGCTTTGTACTCTGGTGGCTCCAAGTGGCAACAAGAGGTACTTTGAGTTTTGGAAAGATAAATGAATAAATCTTCTTTACTGGGCACTAAGGCTCACTGCCTACAGCGAACCTGCAGCATTCTGGCAGCAGGTTCGGATTATTATTGGTAAATTACATTTTCTTTGGATACAGCACTCACCTGCTGCTGTTTGGAGAATATTAGGTTTCTTATTTGTATATTTTGATTTGGCACTAGAGGACTGTTTAAAGCTCATTTGCTGGATTGTCAGTTAGCAGGGAGGAAGTGCTCTACCCCTCTTTCTCCCTTGTTTAAAAGTATAGTATGATATTTGTGATAAAGCACAGCCACTGCAGAGTCCATTTAGTTGTCCAAGAAAAGCCACAAACACGGTGATAAATCTGCATCAGCACAGAGTGACGGCACACAAACCAAGCCCAGAGTGCGGAGCGCCAACTCATTTGTAAGCATTTATTCCCAAACTGTTCTATTGTGCTATGCTGAGATTCAAAGAGGCCAGTTCTGCTGTGATCCAAATGTAAACAGACAAATACCCATCGCTTCCCCAAGCAGGGCTAAAAGAGATGCCAGAAATGTGAGCCAAGCCATTACAGTGTGGTGCATAGTAAACAGTGTCCGAGCTGAGCAGAAAACCTATGCAGCTGCAGCTGAAAGAGTTTATAGCACAGTTTAAGTCATTTGGACTAATTGTCTTAGTGTCTATTCATGGGTATAAAACTTCTTAATCTAAAGCAAAGTTTCAAGAAAAGATGTTGAACTTTTATTTTTAAGAGAAAGCTTGGATGGATATTACTATGAGTTTTTATTGCCATGTACTTTTACACCCAGGTTTGGATATGGAGATATTTATGTAAACTGTAACAAGAAATGTCTTTATGAATTACAAATATGTAATAATGCAGTTTTAAAGACCAGACATTGTAGCACAAATGTATGGATTAGTTAGTAATGATACAGTTCTACAAAGATATCCATATCCCATATAGCCCCCATTGAGTTAGACGTGCAGGTGGAGCTTGCGCTGGATTACGTGAGCTGAGTGAACAGTTGGCTATGTGATAGTCTAATCATTGTTAATATCATTTTCAAGCAAAAATGTTTTTATTTCAGTTCTCAAGTATGAAATCTTCTGCTTTTCTCTGTTTTATATTACAAACTAGATATTTTGGGGGTTTGGACTGTTGGTCAGACAAAACCAGACACCTGGTTTCAGGACATTGTGACATGCAATTTACATTATTTTATGGAAATTCTATTGAACTAAAAATTAACAAATTAATCAAAAAAACGATTAAGATTAATTGATAATGAAATTCAATTAGTTAAAATTAATTCAGAGCTTGAAACAGGAGGAATAATCTGCTGGTCTTACCTTGGTTGAGCAGCAAAGCTGTAAAAGAGGAACAGAAGAGCAGTAAGTAATAGCACACATTCAGGCAGACAGCAACAATGCAATCAGGGGCTCATCCTAATAATACATCTAATAATACATCAAACTCCACTCTACGTTCAGATGAAACTCACAAATACTCACAGAAACAGTTGAAAGCTCAGATAGAGAATGCTGTGTACACAACTTTACTGTAGAAGAGCTCTAATTCTGTCTCAATTTAATTTAAGTTATTCTCACTCACATTCACCCTGTCACACTCCCTCCACAAACAAACAAATCATCACTTTCTGTTCTTTACCACCAACACAAATCTCTTCTCTTATCCCTTCATCTCACAGTGTAAGAAAATCCTCTGATCTGAAATACTGCTCTTTCTGTCTCTCCACAGAGAAAAAAGGAGGTGACTCAGTCCTTGTGTTGTTGTAGTGATGACAGGTAATAGATGAATCGATAGGTCCCTGAACATGTGTGTAGTTGTGCGTGTGTGTGTCTTTGTGTTTGAGATGAGATGGGACTTTATTGATCCCTGTGGGTAAAGTAGGTCACTGAAGCAGCTAAAAAACTGAACAAACAGAACAAAATACAAATAGAAAAGAAACAGGCTGTCGCACAAAAAACCCACAGAATCTAAAATACAAATACAGCACAAAAATATGCAGGATGAATTTTAATTTGCTACTTGTGCAGAGTTTATTTGAAAATAAACTAATGCAGCAGTTAAAGATTACAAAGTTCCACTAACCATATAAAGAAACCTGCTGCTAACATGATAAACAGCATCATTATATTGTTTATATTTTATATTACATTAGAATCAGAGTGATTAACACAACCAAGCCCTCCATGGAAAACGAGTTTTATACTAAGGACTGGCTATTTTAAAAACTGACTGAGTCATGACTCCCAGAAGGAGAAGGAATTTTGCACAAAGGATTTTAAAAGTAGTCGTCTCTGTGAGCTCAGTGTCAAAGCCTCTGCAGCTGACCGTGTTGATAAGTGGGCATATTCAGCAGCCAAACTACAATAACACACATTAAAAACACCAGCATGCACCTGTCCCTTTCACCCTGCGCTGTATCTGCCTCACGTCTCTCCCTGCAGAGTCAATGTGAACATGAACCAGAACTAAAAGACAACATCATGTTCCTTAAAACTGTTCAAAGAATGAGTGCACAAGAAATTCAATATCTGCTTTCAGTGCTCTTTCAATAGTTTGATATTGCTACAGAGGAAGTCTGGTCTGTATAAACCAAGAATCGAGTCCAATACTCAGCCCTATACATTCTGTCTTTACTGTCGATCAACAGTTTTCCTTTGAGGTCAAATAAAATAATCACATTAAATCCAGTCAAAATAACCTTCTGCATATACGTACCCGAGATTCCTCTCTTTAGCCAGCGTGGCTCCTCCAATACGATGAAGAAGTTTTCATGTTTTTCATATTCTTCATCATCAATTAT